ATGTATAATAATAATAATAGTAATAATAATAATAATAATAATAATAATAATAATAATAATAATAATAATAATAATAATAATAACATTAGCAAATTGAATAGTGTTTTGGAATTTTTTTTGGTATTAAAGATTGATAATAATGTCAAAGTGTTGGTTGAAGCAAGTTATATGAAATTAAAATTTAAAGATATTTGGATGGGAAGTGAATCAGTGACTACTACTATAGTGAGAGAAGTCACTTTCTAGTAATTAAACATCTACAAAGACGTCTTTATGGAATATACATAATTTGAAATATCTGTCACAAACATACTTAATATTATTTCATAATAAAAAAACATATTCAGTTGTATGCAAAAATTTATATGTCCAGCAAAACATGTATGTTGGCTCTTAAGATTCTCATTTGGGTAATCTAAAGTCTTTTACCTTTTGATGACCCTGAGTCAGTCTATCTTATTTAATCAAGTTATTGGTTTGTACCAAAACATTAACAGGAATGAAAGGTATAGTTGCTTATTAAGGGATAAAGCGCAATGGGTAATCTGTTGGAATAAAGAGATGTGGTGCAGCAGCAAAGCGTTCGAGGAACAAAATGGTACCCTCAAGTTGAGTGGCAATATCTTACTTTGATTCTAAATTCATCCCGACTGACGTGCAAAAAGAGTATTGCGGGTATGCTCTTAAGGATATAATGAAAGTTTAAGAATGTGACTGTCTAAATACATACATGAAGCCGGTGAGATTGAGACCAGCAGGGGTAGTTAAATGAAGCTGGGCACATGGCAGGGTGGAGTGATGAGAAAAAGTAACAATAATGTGTAATCCCTCCGTTTCAAATATAATGAGATAGTTTGGCTCGGCACGGAGTTTAAGGAAAAAAAGAAAGACTTTTGAAATTTATGATCATAAAAGGTTAAGGGGTAAAGTTTTATGGGGCCATGACTTTTGTGTGGTTATAAAAGCTTCTCATTAAGGGTAAAGTGGGTAAAATGAGGAGTTTAAAGTTGAATTATTTTCAAATTTAGAAATGTGTCATTTATTTAGGAACAGACTAAAAAGGAAAGTACCTCATTTAATATGAAACGGAAGTAGTTACGTCACGTTCCCCAAGAATGAATCACGTTATTTTCGGATTTACGTCAAGCGCGCATCCCAGTATGCAGTTATTACGCGTATTAATCTGCTGCTGCACGTTCATCTCCATTAGCTACATTATTATTCCGCTATCATTGCATCTTTGACTTTGATCATGTGCCTAACCCAAACCAATCATTTATTTATTTTCTTCCAATTCTTGATTTATTTTCTCTAAGGGTCACAATTCATTGTATTTGCTCCAATGGAATGCACGATTACACATAACTTCCTGCATTAATACCGCCTTCCTTCCTGGATTTGCCTTACTTTTTATCATGTACTCTCTGTACTGTACATCAATATCTATGATGAGACTGCACAAATCCAGCCTCTGCAATGGATTCTTTCACCACTATTTATTACTGCTAATAAATTAATTCGCCTCTTTAACAAATATTTCAGATAGACCTGAATAGTATCATTCTACGTAATTATAAAGTTCATTAAACGTATTTTCACATTTGCAAATAAAAATCTTGTCTCAAATAAAAAAAAATCTTCTGCATTAATTAGTTTTATGACCACATAGCATTGTCAAAATATGTCTAGCTGACTTAAAATATTTGAGTATTTACATTATTACATACATTGCACATTAATCATTTATCGAATCATGCCTAATAATGATTGCTCCGAATGATTTTCTTCACAAATAAACGATTATTTCAGTTCAAGCAGATACTAACTTTGGTAGTTGGGAAAAAGTCGGTTCCTTAAAATCCATATTTCAAAATATTCTTGACCAATGGAATACTAATCTTGATGACTCCGACTTCATACTACGTTGGTAGACTTCTCAGGAAGTTTGAAGAATATGGAGAATCAAGTAAAAGGGAACCCATATATGATATTGAATTAGAAAAAAAAAAAAAAAAAGAGTCAGGTAATTCAATAAGCAATGAAGGAGGAAACAGTTCAAGCGAAGAATAGGGACTAATCACATGCCAAACAAAATTATGATGCCACATAGGTCATAAGCCTTTTAATTTTTCATGAAGAGTGGCCAGTCCACTAGCAAACTGTGTTTTGTTTATTTTAATTTTCACCAAGGCTTAAGAGTGTCCAGTTACTTAATTAGCAAGTGGACTTGTAATATTAATAAGAATACAGCACATCAGTAATTGCTTTCGTATAGTTGAAACAATTAGAATGTGGAAAGCCAGCGTAACAAAAGCATTGGAGCTGTGATGAATTGAAGGATGTGACAGTTAAGATGCAACTCTAGAATTTACGCTATTAAATACTACTTAATTAATATCCTTCGTTCTCTGTATAATTAATAATAACTCTCTCCTGATCACTTGATTAATGGGGATAGGACAAAAGTGAAAAGGAGAAGAGGTATAATGTAACTTGTACGGAAGAGAGTATCCTATATATCCAACCCTATATTTGAAAATAACGAAAAACAAGGTGGTTAGGCACCAAAAACCGATAGAGAGATCAGACTCTTCTGCTAATTTATTTATTTATACGTTAATTAATTAGTGGGGGATGGTTGCTAATAATGATGAAGGTACCGTACCTATAGGCAACAGGTCATCCGCATTATAGGGGGCTAGCTATACTAGTAGAATAATTCATCCAATAATTAATTGTAAATTGTAGTAATTGATTAATACACTATGCTTGCTCCTCCCCCTCCTATATATAGTATATGTGTTTTACCTGATCATCCAGCTAGCAAATTAATTAAGCTATGGATCCATCAAACAAATCTCATGTGTCTGCAGGCAGCTCTTCTAATAAGATCAGACAAATAGTTAGGCTTCAGCAGCTTCTCAAGAAATGGAAGAAGATAGCAGCTGCCTCCCCCTCCTCCACCCACCTCCATAACAACCTCCTCACTAGTACTAGTACTAGTACTAGTATAAACAGCACCAAAAGCATCAATAAGTTCCTCAAGAAAACCCTTTCATTCTCGGAAAAGGAAAGATCATCACCTGCCGAGGGATGCAGCATTAATAGCTCCGATGCAGCAGTCCCCAAAGGGTGCCTTGCAGTATCCGTTGGCAAGGAGGACAAAGAAGAAGTCAAGAGATTCGTCATCCCAATGGACTACTTGGGCCACCCATCATTTCAAGTCCTCTTGAGAGAAGCCGAAGAAGAGTTTGGTTTCCAACAACAGGGACTCCTCAAGATTCCTTGCCAAGTCACCGTCTTCGAGAAGATTTTGAAAAACATTAACTCTAACAACAAGATCAGACAACCATGTCCACCACCAGCTCATGATCATGATGCCTTTTTCCAACTGCAGCAACCTCATCATTCTTCTGATTTATCCACCATTAATAACGTCGTCGTCGATGATAATACTATCATTCACAACGTTGGCTGCTGCTCTCCAGACAATCACCAACACCACCAAGGAATCATGCCTCCTCAATTGTGCAGTTGACCGCCTAGCGTACGTAATTCCATGCAATATTGCGCATGCAATTAACGATCGATCTATAGTTAATGATCATCATTGTACTGCTCTTTCTTATTCATTTTTTCCTTTGCCGGCCCATGCATGGCAATTCATCTATTTTACTACAGAAGAAGAGAAAGCGAAAGAGTGTTTAATTAGTCCAATAAGTGTTATTCCTCCACCATCTGAATACATCTCAAGTTACGTCTCATGTATGTTGTAGATTTCTTGCCAATCAGACATGTATGTTTTCTTTAGTTTAATAAACCATCACTACATCGTGCAAGCTTGTAGCATTTCTTTTCTTCTTTGTCTGTTCTCTCAAGTTATTCATACTTATTTCATCAATTAACAGGCCCGACCCATTCATATTACTTATTAGAAGCAGCTGGAAATTAGCACCAGGATTCATCTTACTAAGAGGGAGAGAGATTGACATCCTATACTAGTTTTGGGGCATAATAGAAACTTCCAAATTTAATTTGTGAGGGAGAGAGATTGACCTCATACACAAACCGCTCTTTTGCTTTCTTCTTTCATTTTGTTTATTTCACTTTCAGGGCATCTAGGCTCAACTTTTGCCACCATTACATCACGAGGCCCTTCGGGTCTTTGATTGGCCACATTAACAAAATATTCCATCATAAAGTTTCACATACTATAAAATACAGTTTTTCACTTGCTATATAAGAAAAAATTAAATCCACCCATCAATCATGCAGTATTTGGTTCGAAATAAGCTTAAATACCACCATAATTTATGTGAAAATCAATGTATTACATTGTTGGAAAAAGCTATTGGGTCGGGTCTAGTCATAAGGGGTACTAATTAGCCTATTAGCTTGTCCTCCTCCTACATACTATGTATAACTCATAAATACAACATTATACGTGTAGAGAAAAGAGATTTTGCTAACGTTTTTTGGGAAACAAATGACGACTAGGGATACTACTTCCTTGCATCACAACAGGATATCTAGGCTGTGGATAAAGGGAGTTCATCGTTTCGTAGTATTTGTAAATCCGCTTCCCTAAAGAGACACCCATAAGCAATAGAATGTAAAATATGATTACACGTATTAACGATACATATATTAAAGTATCTACAGACAAATATTTTTAGAATAAGTGTACCCTGCATAATGTTCACTGTATTATTATTACCACTAAGCAATCTCTACATGATGTTCAAACTGCATAACTACCAACATTATAAATTATTGCACAATCCTTCATTACACTTTAGGTCTCCCACATAACTAGTAAATGAACTAAAACAACGCACTTATTTGGAGAACCCAATACTTTCTTTGACTCAGTATAACTACCATTTCTGACGAGAAATAATCCCTAACCAATTAACTACGATTGCAGATGCGAATACAGCGAGCCACAATTAGGCCATAGGGAAAGGGTAAGGCATAGGAGGAGGGCAAGATGAGAGGGAAGAGCACAAAGTCCAACTCCTTGGTTGTCAATGAGGCACACAGCAATCACGTACAATCCGCATAAATGCGTGCTAAGAGAGTATAATTCGTCAAATTATGGATATGATCCGATCACATCAACTATCCATTCCCAAAATCATCAGATAGCGCTCAATAAAAGAATTAAATTGCATTATTTTTGGTATCAAGCTACCAATGGCAGTTCCCAAATGGCTCTGCAATTGAAACAGAATAGTATATATATAATAAAGTAGTTAAAGGAAATTATTGAATAGTTATCTGTCCACGCCCAGATAACTTCGAGGCTTATAGGTTAACCATACTGCACACTAGTCATTGACCAGCTTATTCTTGATCGATGATACGGGTATGCCAAGCCAAACAGGTAATGCTTTCTATTACTGCTTTCCCTTAATTCAATCTGATTGGGTAGATGGCTCTGTTTCCTTCATTGGATCCCCGCAGGATTTTGGCTGGTAAACACCAAATTAGCCCGGTTAGTACTGCGTCAATATCGTGAACGTATCATCTAAGGTGCTGCTGAGTGCTGACCTCGCGTATTTCATTAAAAAAAAAACCAACACAGTAAAAATAAGAAGAAATGGAAAAGAGGTAGTCCCAACCTCAGTGAACACCGAATGTCAAACAGAGCCTTTCGATCATCGTCCACATTATTCAAACAGAAATGTCCTATGTGTACACAAGTAGTACATCTTGAATATACAATTCCAGTAGCGTACCCAGCAATTACTGAAGCAGATGCGAAAACTGCCATCCAGTTACTACTTCTCAGTTGCCGAAGAATCTCACAGTTCACAAATTCTTGGCCTACTAACCTTTCTCTGGTGTTGGACAATTCAAGCTACTGTTCGAGCCATCTCAAATAGTCCAACAGCCAGGATATCAAAGGTCAATTCAACGGTAATCACTTTGAATACTTATCAACAAGCGCCTTCGCATTCTCTGGTGCAAAGAATCTTGCCTGTGACATCATCCCCCATGTTAGAAGATAAATGATAATCTAAGTGTTAACAGGAAGTCCTTAAATTTTTCAAAAGCAAATTGCAGGTGCATAAATTTGGATTAAGAGATAAAATTTAACAAGTTTGCAGTCTTTCATTAAAACCAATCAGGCAAGCATGCCGATATCACAGAATGATCAAATAGCTTGCAGCATTTTTGAAGGTCCCGCGCAGGTGCAGACACATTTTTGGAACATTCGAGCAACATAGGTAGAAACATAGAGGACCTATCATGACACTGCCGTTCAGGAACCTAGAAATGTCTTGTCAATGACTAAATTGTATATGGGAAAAAGAGCATCAGATCCCATTTTATCATAGTTTTGCTAGTTTTGACAATCAATGTGTGCTGTACAGTGTACACCCTCCTTGTCCTAGTAATATCAACGGACTAACCAAAAAAGGATATCCATGTTTTTCTATAACCATATTCATTACCTTTTATTCTTGAACTTGACAGAGCTGCTACTGCCAGCCAAAAATTTGTAGTCTCACATCAAGAGAGGTATTCTATGCCGGTATACTTCAAAATACAGAAAATAGTTATTCTGTTCCTTTTGGCATACAAGCATCTATTCCCAGTCTGTAAACTACCTAGAGAGTAAGTGTTGAAAAGTTTCATGGGAAGTGGATTCAAGCTTGAGAAAGCTGAGGCAAAAGTTGGATAGGATTATCGGAATGGAACAAAGCAGCAGTACTCCAACATATTTTTTTTTACAAGGTAAATTGTATTAATCAAAAGGGAGAAAACTCCCGTATACAAGAAGTATACCAAAAAGTAGAGAATTTACATCAGAACATGATTCTCTACAACTGACGCCCAATCTTCTATACAAGTAGGGGCTATATGAGTGCACCAAAAAGCGATCAAAGATAAAAGACTATTCTTAAGATGTGAAAAAGGAGACTCAATCCCCTCAAAAGCTCTCCTATTTCTCTCCCCCCCAAACTATCCACATGAGAGCTAAACTTCCACGCCTTTTGCTTTCTTTTTCTACGGAAACCGGCCCAGCAGTACTCAAACATATTAAATTACTAGTGGAGAGGAAGCCTGTGCAGGCCACAGGCCCAAGCACAATCTAAAAAGATAGTTCCTCTATTTCATTTTTATGTGTCACTATTACTATTTGGAGAATAAAAGAAAATTTTTAACTCACCATTTCTCAATACTTTTTTAATATTTTGACTATTAACTATCATGACCTATATTACTACCCCAGTAGCAGTTTATGTGACTCTAAAGATTGACCCTTTCCAAATCTAAGGATTGTCTAATTAAGCTTATAAAAAATGAGCAAAATGAAGTATTTTCATGTACTCCTTGTTATTTGTTAAAAGCAAAGGTATAAAAGAAACAGTAGTTCAAGCAGAATCTATCTGCTTAAATCTGGCAATCAGACAAATCTTGAGGAACTCCTTTCTTTTCAGCATATGATCTCCATTCTCCAGAACTCTGAATCTGGATTCGTTCCCATCAGCTACCCTTTCACATTTTTAGACTCTAGAGAGGGGTAGGACTCCTCTCCCTACAATTTATTTTTTTGCCTTCAAGTTTTCTGGGGTATTTAAATATGAATAGAAAGTTTCATCTGTGTCAAGTCTTAGAGTAAAGAGCACATCCTTATGTTGCCTACGAGAAGGCAAAACAAGAATGCTTCCCAATAAGAAAGGTAAACCATTTGTCATATCTGGGACAGTAATAATTGTACCATAACTAATGACCAATAATAACTTAGTATTTTGTTCATAGAAATTATAGAAAATAATTGCAAGGGAAAGGGAGAGTTAACACAAGGCCCCAGTTGGCTTTAACTACCTAATAATCTCAAGCCAAGGAGCTCATGCCAAAGGAGAAGCATAGCACGTTGATCATTGTTCTTAAAAAGACGAAGATGGAAGGAAGCGTTTATCCTGGTGTCAGCTTATGGGAAGGGTGTGTGAGACTATTCATATTGCTATTCATATACTCACTTGTATAAACATTCTCTCAGCATCACCAACATTTCCGTTCTCTTTCAAAATAATACCCTGCACAAATCGAGATGATCAATATCTTAAACCTATAAATAAAACACTAAAATTTAAAAAATAATTATCACGTCATTATGAAACATTTTCCGATGTGTAAGATATTATACTATTTATTGATTACTATTCCTTTACACTACTTTGAAATTTGCTGAAAACTAGCAATTTATTCCTTAAATGCTACACTACACACTATCCTTCGAATCTTATCTCTACTATCTCCACATTAAAATAAGCTTTGCAGATTAGGAACTCTAGTATTTCTTTAGTAATTAAACTTAATGTCAATTACACAATATTACTAAAATGTGTCAATACTAAAAAATCCACTTATCGCGCAAACTTTAAGTGAAAGATATGGAAATAACCATCGCGGTAAAATATATAAGGACCAGATGGATAAAACCTTTGCTAAGTAACCCCTAAAGTCATCAGGATAGGTAGAAATGAGTTGATTATATACAGACACCGCATCGCTGACACGGCCCCATTCTGAGTATGATTTTCCAAGAAGCAGGTCAACCTGTAAAGGAGAAGAAAAAAATTCAACATAACCACAAGCAATGAGTGCATTCATTCAAGCACAAGAGTGCAACATTCCTTGCCTTTGAGACTGGTGCCTTAAATAGTTAAATGAGTGAAAGATACCTTGTGCAATTTCCCCCTTCCCTTTCAGCTAGTCAAGAGTTCAGTTCGCTCAAAAGTGGCTCGCCATTAAGGAAAGTGGTTGTTTACTTGTTTATTTCACTTGCATAGTAGGCCAAATTAAATATAAAGACTAGTTTTGTGAAAACAGACAACACAATTTGCATTAAAAGACTAGCTCATAATGCTTTGGAGGATAAAGAGTTGTACAGAAGTTAGCAACAAGAGAAAAGTTCCAAATTGTCATTAACTACTTAATTGCCTCATTTTCTTGAATAGGATTTTCAGAATTACATTTGGCACTTACAAAACGAGATGACATAAGAGAGCGTGATTGGTAAGGGTGATAAGATCCTATCAACCTCTTGCCTGTGCTATGCATAGAGGAAAAGACGAAACAACTTTGTACAAAGGCAGATCTAGGATGTATAGAACATGGGTGCACCATTATAGAAAGAAGAACAAAAAAAGTATTTAGTGGGAATTGATCCCTCTTCTTTTGGGTAAATAACTCAGCATTCAACCAAGTGCACTATTGAACCATTTTGGAGCATAAGGGCCAGCAAATAATATTTGATCAATTCTATGAATTATGTACAAAAGTACCTAGTTTGGCAGAAAGATCATGGGTTCACGTGCACCATAATTTGGGCCTAAATCTGCACCTGACTTTGTATATCTTGTGGCAAGAAGTTAATACTCATTAAATGTGCACTCTGCAGTATTCGCTCATATTAACCAACAGTACCTAACACATTTGAACAGCTTTATAATTGAACTAAGTGAAAGAACTGTAGAAATTGTTAACAGCTTTGAACATGATATTCTGGTAGTGCTAGTCATCTAACGCTAGGAACTTCTCCATTGTCATTTCCTCAAATTATTAACTAGATTTTTATTTTTATTGATCTCTACTGTTGGTTTCATTCTCTAACATCTGCTCCAATGTATCGGACAGACGTGATAGTGGTGCGTCAATGTGTATTATTTGGATGCATGTGGTAATCTTTTTATAGATGAAGAAAGTTTTACATGCTATCAGATGAGTTAGTGGAAACATTATAAAACCTAACAACTATTTCCTCCGGGGTTCAGAGTGCAGGTGGCAACTCATCTAAGTTTCAAAGAGAACTTATATTTTAGATAAATTTACATGTTTAGAAATTCAAACTTAGAAATATTTAATAAATGTTTGAGAATTTGTTTACTCTCCAAATAATAATTGTGCCAAACAAATTAGGACCAAGGGACTAGCAGATTTGACATGCTATGATATCAAAGCTTACTTGAATTGGGTCATCATCTGACTTTGATTTCACTGCACTCTTCTCGGTTCCATCACTGCTACCGATAGTTTTTTCTTCATTTAGACGTTTGCGAGATGCCAAAAGCATTTGAACAGCCTAAAAAAGTAACATAGTCATATCAAGTCCACATATTGACATGAAAATGATAGGAATTCAGATTTAATTTATGTTATTATAGCAGCAAACATAATTGATGAAGGATTCAACCTCTAGATCCGCACCCATATTGGACACCCGCACCCGAGTCCAAGCAACTTAGCTCATTACATAGGAGTCTTAGTCTATGTATAATATGGTAGGTAATTGATCCCTATGCTAATAAGATAAGTAAATATTCTATAATTAAAATAGAGAATATCGTAAGACATATTGTAGAAAGCTTTATAAGATTTCATTATCCAAGTGATGAATCAAGACGTATATGAATTTCGACACATGTTACATGCACTCATGCATAGACATGAATCCTGCACAGATACATTTATTTTGTCGTATATTTTGAAGGATCCATGTGAAGCACCGAATATATATGTCATATCCAATTTTAACGAAGGTGCATCATTAACATGGCAGGAGTTTGAGAAGAAAACATTCATAAATATCATACCCCTGGCGAAAGGCTAAAATCTTAGGCAGTTTACATATCCAGTTTCACATAGCGCAACGCATTTTTACGGTGTTCACTCAACCTCAGTGCATAATATTCACTTGTCCATAATTGTTCATACTTCTAGGACTCACTTTTCTACTTATGAACAGTGGTTATGATGGTAAATATGGATACTTTTTCTCTTCAGTTCCAACAAAGAAGACACCTTCACATTTTTATCAGATCTGACAAATTCTCAAGCTGTCAAAAATGTGGTTAACTGGGACAAAGAAACTGAGAATCATTTCCTGTCTTGTAGGGCAGGCAATGAAATAATTGAAAAAGAGGAAACAGCATATTGACCAACCAACCTCATCTGGTTTCTTTGCAGCTATCAGTGCATTTGTAAGGCCACGTAGAACTTCAAAATCAATAGTTCCGGAGACCTGTAAGACCATCCTAGCAGGTTATTCAAGCTTGTGTAAGTGCTGAGTAAACTTGGTCCAAAAAAGAAGAGGTGAATAATGTCTAATTAAAATTGTGTTTGTGGGATTCTGATATGGTCAACTAACATGACAAAACTTATATATCTACAATATATTAAAAACAGGAACCTCTTTAGCTAAAAGTCAAATTACAAAATTACCCTTATTTTAGTAACTTTATTCAAAATTACCCTTTACTTAAATTTTTTTTTTTAAAAAAAAATCAAAAAAAAAAACTAAACAGACGTGCCTCTCTCAACAATTGCACTCTTTCCTCGCAACAGACGCCTTTTCCAAAATTTCTTCATCTAAATTTTGTTCTCTTAAAGATCCTATGGCAGTTTTCCCTCAATCTTCGGTCTTCTCCATTAAAGCAACATGCCAACATGTGTGGATCTTATTTTTTTTCAATTAGTCTTTTCCTTCTCAGTTTTTCCTAATCTCTTTTTTTTATCATATCTTTGGCACTATTACTATTCCATCTACCCATACCTAAATCTTAGCTAATACTTATCTTTGGGAGAGTCAAGTTGTAAGTTCCTTGGTTTTGTTCTTTAGTTGATTTTATTAATTTTACCTTAATTGATTTTTGAATCGTTGTTTACAATTATTCAACTAGATATGTTTTCTGAAATGGTTTGAATTTGAAGATGACTAGCTATAAATAAAGAATAACTGTCAGATTATTCAAATGGTTACTTAAATGTCCTATTAAATAATTTAAATACCCTACTAAATAATTTAAATAATTTCCTACTAACAATCTTAATTAGCAAATCATCATTCTTTAAAAGTCACAGCCCTTGGAGAAAAGAAAAAGCCTACACTAATGAACATGCACAGACGTCTTTGCCACGCATTAGCAAGTTTGCAATTCTCAAGTGAGAATTGAATTCCGGTAGTAATTTAAGTATTAAACACATGTATCTTCGTTACATTAATCATTAAACTTAATCAAAAATTCTTAAACGCATTTATTTTATTTTGATAGTAAGGCCTTCTCTCTCTCCCCTTTTTGTGGCTAATTTTTCTGGATCGAGATGGTTACGTATTAGAAATATCACATAATTAAACTATGGTAATTCGAAGTTAGAGGCAAACTTCATAACAAACTTTAGGTAACTGATTATATTTTCTTTGACACATGTAAAAATTCTGCTCTCTGCATTCTTCTACTCCAGTTTTAAATTGTTGGGTTCTATATAAGTTTTTTGGATTCTTGAATCTATTTGTGTCTTATAATGGTTAAATTGATGATTATGTTACTCCTTTGAATTTTTTTATTTCCTTTTGTTTAATACTGTTTATACAAATGGATTCTCTAAAAGTGCTAACTTGATAATCGAATTTATGCATCTATTTATTGTATTCTTCCATACATTATTCTTCCACAATTTTGGCTTATTTCAACTTGAATTATTAATGTTTGTTTGATAACCTTTGAAAATTGGACATATTGTGTTGGACTAGGATAAGAATAAAATTAGTTTCGAATATTAGGCTTTTATTTGGATCATGTAGAAAAACTGCCACTACTAGATGAATGTTGGTTTCAAATGATGCTATTTCTATTGCTTGAATTTGTACAATGACAAAGCACTTTGGAGATAATTTGAAATAATAATGTCTCTCCTGTGACTTTTGCTTCCCTAATTAGCATCTTAAATAATGAATAACCAAAAGAACTCTCTCCGAAATAATTAATTAATTAAAATTACTAATCATGGTACATCAAGTGGAGTTTGATTATAATAAGTAACCAAGTTACAAAAGTAAAGAGAGAAGTGTGCTTGAGCCTTGTAACTTGTAAGTACTACTATTATCTTTATTTTTTTCTATTTTTAGTACATGTCACCCATTATATTGAATAGAATACCTCTAGCAGATGATCACTGGTACTCCAAAAATTTTAATTAGTTAAATGTTTATCGGTTTGTGTAATGCGGCTTAGTACTTATGATGGTGGTTCTTGATTCATTTTTAAACTAAAATAGCCGCATCTTTAAAATGGCAATCTCAATACTTTGATAAGTTAAATGTTTTCGTAGTGTAAGAGGCTGCTTAGCCTTTCCGATTTATTAGATATTGGTTCTTCATTTATTTTTTGTAATTTTTGAATGTTCTCAACTTTGAAGTGGTAGTCCTAATACTTTATAATAAGTTAAACGTTTTTCTGCGTGTGATGTTCCTTAATTAGTACTTCTGATTTATTAAAGTGATAGATAGCTAAAGGCACAATTAAAGCATGCACTTAGTGAAGAAAGGCACAATTGATAGGAAGATAAAAATTAATACATGCGCAGTTTAAATAAAGCTGCCAAACAACATTTGAATAGACGAAAAATATTTAAAATTTATAATTAGGTAGAATAATTTATTGTTGTTTATGTGTGGGTACACGAGGGATTAATTATTTGTCGGGTAAAATATGACTCGGTATACACGTGCAACGCATGTGCCGAGGAACTAGTGTGTGTGTATATATATGCTTTCGGGGTAGGTAGATGTTTAGATTCCTAGGTAAAGTATTTTCAAGTTAGCATTCATCCATGTAAAGGGAGCTACAAGAAAAGGAATAACCTGAGGTTTCAAAAGAGGTACACACCATAAACAATGATAAACTATTTAAAGTAACTGTTAAATAGTTGTGTAAATGAGTATAGTCCACATGAAATAAGAGTACAGTATGTATTGTGTATAGTTATAAATAGGGCTCATTGTATTATAGTTAAAACATCAATCAATAATATAATTTTCCTATTATTTTCCTATTACCAGGAAGGATAAGATTAGGAATGAAGTTATTAGGGAAAAGGCGGGCATGGCTCCGTGGAAGACAAGTTGCGGGAATCGAGACTGGGATGGTTCGGGCATGTGAAGAGGAGAGACATTGCTGCCCCGGTTAGAAGGTGTGAGAGGTTGACCATAACAGGTCAGAGGAGGGGTAGAGCGAGGTCTAAGAAGTATTGGGGAGAGGTGATTAAGCAGTACATGGCACTACTTCAGCTTACCGAGGACATGATCCTTGATAAGAAGGTGTGGAGGTCGAGAATTAGGGTTGTGGGTTGATAGGTAGTCGAGAGTTTCCCCTAGTCTTACCAGTAGTATTAGTACTAGTCTTATATTTTCCTATTCCTAGTTCCTTGTTATTACACGGTGTGTCATTCTTACCGGTAGTATTGGCACTATTCTTGTATTTTCGTATTCCTAGATCTTTGTTATTACATGATGTGCCATCTGCTTCCGTTGTCCTATTACCTTGTTGGTGCTATTGTTTGTTTACTGCTTCCTTTTCACTGTTCCTGAGCCGAGGGTCTATCGGAAACGGTCTCTCTACTTTCATAGGGTAGATTACACATTACCCTCCCAAAACCCCACTTGTGGGATTTTACTGGATTTATTGTTGTTGCATTTCTCACAGTAACGAAGTATACTAGAATAGGCATCTTATCCAGCATATAAGCTACTGACCATGGCAGACATCCTAAAAGCAGCAGCACTTCCTTCATAATCCTTCAGTTCATATTTGACTTCTCCAAGCAAACGGTAGACATCAGGGTCATTCGGTTTCTTCTGCATTTGCAGACAGGTTATTTCGTGATATCCATATGGACTCGAAAAATCTCTTCATAAACAAAATAATACATCAGCCAAAAGAAAACCTTAATCAAATCCTCAAGAAGGGAAGAGGCTCGATTGTACTCCCCCAGTTGTGCTAAGGTCACAGCAGCTCCCTGTAAACCATTTAAAGAAACTTACACAGTTGTTCATTGTCAAAAAAAGAATCTTACACGGTTGCAGAGTGAAATTTCAGAAAGTGGTCGTTTGGACTTATGACATCAAAAGAGAATTTCTCAAACAAGAATTCTTACATAGCATTATAAAGGAAAATCCATATAATTGACAGGGCACAATGAGCATTTCTATCTTTCATCTCCTAAGAAGCACAAAAGAGCAATTTTTTTCTGAGGAATTTCTATCCAAAGCAATACCCACAATTTTTACAATTATCAGCCTTGTAGTCTGAAATTCACTGTTACTACCTCCATCAGCCCCCACAGAGAATTTCCCCTTTTGACTTCCACAAGACAGCTAATAGTTAAACTTCTGGACCTTAGGAAACCAATTTGACATAACCCATACAATCCGCAATTTGATACTCAAATTTATAAGGGATTCCTATACTGTGAACCTCAAGCGCTGGCACTCAATTAAGAATGCACCTTTTCAGCACACAATTGTTGAGGCCTTAAATCATGACCCAATCCACTTGATTGTTGTTGGAATATAGGAAAGAGAAGGAGAGAGAGACATTAAACCCATGTTTTTCCGGAATAAGAACCTGTAGAAATTTGATACCTCCTTTCACCTAAATATCACCTAGAAATTTGATACCTCCTTTCACCTAAATATCACCCAAATGTGATCATTTTTGGTAAGGGTGACTGGGACAAGACATCAGTGTGGATTGAAACTATGATGCACAGGGATGTTGAGGACAAGGGGCATCATAAGGTTTCATGCTAGGCGAGGAATTAGTCGGTTAGGGCAAGTAAAGTAGTTGCACACCAGCAAAAAGTTGTCAAAATTATCAACTAACCCTGGGACTTTAGTGCTGCCGAACTGGGAAATTGTCTGCTCAATTCAAGCTGAATGACTCATTATAAAAGAAATGGGTTGATGTCCATCAACTAACATGGCAAAAACAATTGGAGGCAAAGAACCACATAGTCTAAGGGTTCCAAAGTCTCTTGTAAAAGCTAAGAGACTTGCTTTCATATCGTAGTTCCCATAAAGTTAATAGAGCAGCGGAAATGATGGGTGAGCAATGTTTAACTTGCAAAACGGTTTCACCTCCATACGCAATAAGTTAACTTCTCCACCCAGAGCACAAGTATATGCCACTTAAGGAGTCTAAACTAAGTAGGTATGCTATATCTTGATGAGCGAAATGAGAAATTCTGAAACTGTAAGCATAGGATTACAAACAAAAACATCTTAAATTACATCATATACGATAACTCACTTCAAGGGAGACTGAATCCTCTGGTGATGAAGCCAGTGTTGCCTCAATTTGCTGAAGCGTCTTCTGCAAAAGCATCAAATCTGATGATATTTCAACAATATATAGGGAAATAGATAAGGAAAATATCATCTAACAACAGAGGACACATATAGGCATCCATGAAACTATACAAAATTGAGTGAATTTAACATATTACTAACAGTTTTTTACTAAAGAGCTTCTATATGTAGAAATTGCTAGAAGAGCACATTTTTATATCCTAAAAATTCATTTAACTCCATTTGGACCTGTTTCGTACTTTCATCCAATACTTGGTATTCAGGAAAAACGCACACAACAGAGAAAACAAAAAACTGTGTATTGAAGAATGTGCATATAGACAAAAGTTGGGCCTACTGACTAGCAATGAATACTACAGACAAAAGCCCATTAGATAGATGACAGGGATTGGCAATAGGCGCCTTCACTGATATTGCCTATTCTTTCTGCAGCAATTTTCAACTGAACTCAAAAGTATGTCTTTCCTTTCTAATAGTTGTACTTTTACACTAGAAAAAAATAATTTCAATGTGAAAGCAATCATTTTACCAGGAGGTTAGCTTTCTCATCTTCAGCAATTCTCTTATCAGTGCTGGCAATCTCCTCAGTGGGACTAACACTGCACCAATGACTTCATTAGGATTATGTTAAGAAAAAAAACTGAAAAGAATAAGCAACAAGCAAATCATGAAACTTTGTAACCTCTTGATTGAGTAGAAAAGAAAACCAGGATGCAAATGATGAGATCTATTTGATAACTAATAGCCAGCATTTGGAAGCACCACAATCTACCTTCCAGAAGGAAGAAAGTCACCAAGTGCAAATACAAGTCCAAATACAATAACAGCTGCTCCAACTCCAATCTATTAAATTCCGCATGAATCTATTAGTGGCCATATGAAGAAAGAAAGAAAGATTGGATCAATAAGATGTGTCAGCTCCATTATAGTACTACCTTGGTACCCAGTCCGATTGTAGTACTTTCGGACTCAACCGGAGCATCATAGTCAATTGCTCCGTATGCTTTCTCTTCCTCTGCTTTTTTCTGCTTTAGTGCCAACCTACCAGTTAGTGGAAATGCCAGTCAATGAAACATATTTTAATCAACGAAGAAGAAAAGAGAAAAAAGGACAATGTCATCAACAAATTAGTGACATAGCCCACAAACATGGAAATAAAAAAACTAAATGAAGGAATTAGACATCAATATTTGATACAGCATAGATTTAGCATAGTCAACAATGTAGAAGCAGCTTACTTTATAAGAACAAAGAATATCCCAAAGTAGCCTAGAACATAAACGCAGAAGTTGAAATTGCACATCAATTAGGCCCGGAATCTGAGGTCTAAATACTTGATCGCGGCACTTGTAACCAGTGATCATTTAGTCAGTCTCTTGCTTGGAATGCAAGCAAGTTCGGTTTCATGCCGGTGCGGTCGACTACAGAAGCCATTCATCTGGTAAAGAGGTTGATGAAACAGTATAGAGAGAGGAAGAAGGACTTGCATATGGTGTTTATTACTTAGAAAAAGCCTACGATAAAGTCCCTAGGGAGGTTTTATGTAGATGTTTGGAGATTAGCGGTGTCCCAGTAACGTACATTAGGGTGATTAAGGACATGTACAATGGAGCTAAGACTCGGGTGAGGACGGTGTAAGGTGACACGGACTATTTCCCAGTGGAGATAGGGTTGCATCAAGGATCAGCTCTTAGCCCATTTTTATTTGCCCTGGTGATGGATGTGTGGACGTGACACATTCAAGGAGAGGTGCCATGGTGTATGTTCTTTGTAGATGACATAGTGCTGATTGATGAGACGCGTTGTGGGGTTAATGCTAGGTTAAAGGTGTGGAGACAGACCCTGGAGTCTAAAGGTTTCAAGTTGAGCAGGACGAAGACAGAGTACTTGGAGAGTGAGTTTAGAATTGGGGCTCATGAAGCAGAAGTGGACGTGAAGCCGGATACACAAGTCATCCCCAGGAGATATAGTTTCAAATATCTTGGGTCTATGATACAGGATAACGGGGAAATCGACGAGGATGTCGCACACCGTATTGGGGTGGGATGGATGAAATGGAGGCTCGTTTCTGGTGTTTTGTGTGATAAGAAAGTGCCACCTAGACTTAAGGGCAAGTTCTATAAAGCGGTAGTTAGACCGGCCATGATGTATGGAACCGAGCGTTGGCCAGTCAAGAAATTCCATGTTCAGAAGTTGAAAGTAGCGGAAATGAGGATGTTAAGATGGATGTGTGGGCATACCGGGAGAGATAAGATTAGCAATGAGTATATTAGGGGCAAGGTGGGCGTGGCTCCTATAGAAAATAAGTTGCGAGAATCGAGGCTGAGATGGTTCGGGCATGTGAAGAGGAGAGACCCTGATGCCCCGGTTAGGAGGTGTGAGAGGTTGACCATGACGGGTCAGGGGAGGGGTAGAGGGAAGCCTAAGAAGTACTGAGGTGAGGTGATTAGGCAGGACATGGCGCTACTTCAGCTTACCGAGGACATGACCCTCGATAGGAGAGTGTGGAGGTCGAGGATTAGGGTTGTGGGTTGACAAGCAGTCTAGAGTTTCGTCTAAGCATCCTAGTAGTATTAGTCCTAGTCTTGTATTTTTCTATGCCAAGCCCCTTGCTATTTCATATTGTGTCATTATTTCCAGCAAGACTGGATCTATTTTTATAGTGTCGTATTCTTAGATATCTGTTGTTGCACGTATCTTCATTTGTTATGTCTACTTACCTGGTTGTTGCTACTGTCTGTTTATTGCTTCATTTTCACTTCTTTTGAGCCGAGGGTCTTTCGGAAACAGCCTCTCTACCTTCATTAGGTAGGGGTAAGGTTTGCGTACACTTCACCCTCCCCAAACCCCACTTGTGGGATTTCACTGGGCTTGTTGTTGTTGCCGTCGTTGTCGTCTTGCTTGGAATGAAGTGGTGGTGACGCCTCTAGTAAGCATGGTCAAGTAGTTCGGAAATTATTTTTGTACTAAATCATTGTACAAATGATAGCCACTACAAGTACAAGGTGATTAATTGGTCAGTAATGCTAAAAGAATCTCTCCTAGTCTATGATTACTTCCTCCTTTTTTTTTTTTGGGGGGGGGGGGGGGGGGGGGGGGTGAGCGGAGACTCTCTATTTGAATCTCATTTGTGACTATCCATACAAGATGATAAGATGAAGAATAGGTACGAAGGCTACTGGGATGTCTGTGACATCAATGAGTACACCACGTTCAGCGATGAAACATCATCTCTTTTAGCAGCTTTCGTGCATCATCAAATTTTGGACTCCAATACAATATGAGCGGAAAACTGGCTTGATAAGAAAATTCAGAATGGCAGGTTACTGCAATCATATATCTAAAATTCTTATAAGGAAGATAGCTACTGCAGATAAGCAGTGGGGTAGAAACCATTCTAAATAGTAGTAGCACCTTTTTACTGCTTGCAACCGTTTCTCAAACTGAGGATCTGACGCCACACTTTTTGCCTTTCCGACATCATTCATAGAGCTCAAACGAGGTGCTTCTGCAAGAAAATGAGCCTTATATGATATATGCAACAAGATCTGTTACTCAGACCTCACTTTAAACAAGACATAACAAAAGAAATCTTTAAGAGACCACTTAGTATGATAACAGAAAAACGCGATCACACATTTTGGATTGGAAATAATCTTCAGAAGAACATGATCACACATTTTGGATTGGAAATAAGCTTCCAAAGCATAACATTTTTAGCCAGAAGTATCAAATTTATACTCCAGAAGAATGTGCAAAGAGGCAATTAAAAGATACGCTATCATTTTCAAATAATTTTGACTAGTGGAAGGACGATGAAGGAATCAAAAGATAAGTTTGAAAGGGGAAACCACAAAAAAAAATGTTAGCGTTGCTAATCCAACTGGCAAGAGAAACATCAGAATAATTGATTGCAGAGTTTATTAACTGTTCAGTATGAGAAAAAATTGGATCCAGCGCTAAACCGTAATCTATTAACACATTCCAGATAGGGCCAAAGGGTATCGATTCAACCAAGTGTCGGAAACACATCCAGCAGTTGTGAACTCGAGCAATACATCACAATTTAAACCCAAATGATTGGTATTCTTAATATTGTCAGTATTGCAGAACAAAAAACAGTTCCTCATGTCTTGTTTTATTTATTTTTTTCAAAAAAAAAGTTGAGGCACGCCTTGTTTTAGGTTTAAAAGTTTTCAATGTATAATATCCGTTTAATGCTAATATTCTGATGCATCCTATAATTTATACATCTAGTTAAGCAAAAGTTTTCTATTTCTCTAAATTATAAATCGGTTAACCATAGGTACAAACAAAAGAGATGCGCAACTAACTACACACTGCAGAACATGCAAGGTAGGGCTGTTTACTAACGATTAAGGAGGTCATCGGACTGTGGAGTGGATGAATTCCTGCAAGAGTAAACAATAGTTTTAGATAATAATTGCAATAAGCTGACTTACAATAGTCTCTCCCTATATATATATATGTGTGTGTGTGTATAATTTGTGTCTTTTTTGTTTTGTTTTTGAGAATGAAATAATGACAAAGAGAAAAGGTTGCTGACTTCAAAGCACTATTTAGATCAACATGTAATTCTAGACAACACCAAGGTACAAGTTCAATAGAACAAATACAAATAATTTCTAAAGCACTAGAAGGAGATGAGAGAACTGAAAAATATGAATCTTCTCCATTATGTCATGGTATCATTCAAATTAAATTAATATCTCTGACATCAAATGACCTTTCTATATCGCCTCTTAGGTTAGGTCTTCACGTACATACCGGTGTACCATCTCTTATTTGCAGATGATACTTTGGTGTTCTGTGATGCATATCACAGATGTTTCTCATACTTGAGGCAGATCCTCATCTGGTTCCAGGTTGTGTTATGCCTCAACATCAACCTCAGAAAATGTGAGATCATACAGGTTGGTAGGGTGGATAATTGGTGCATTACCTACAAACTCCTGGTCTACCTTTGGATGCTTCAAACAGAGATATGCTCGTGTGGAATCCAGCGAGTGAGAGGGTTGAGAAGCAGTTAGCAGGCTAGCATACCCACTTATTTCATGTTGTTACGCCAGACTCCAATTATCATAACTGAAACGTTGGAAAGACTTTAGTGGAACTTCCTACGGGATGCAACAGACGAAACAAGGAAGTTTTATTTCATCTAGTAAACTGAAATGTTGTTACGACTCCGAAGAAATGGGAGGACTTGGAGTGAAGAATCAAAGGGTCTTCAATAAAGCTCTATTAGGCAAGTGGATTTGGAGGTTTAGGATAGAGGAGAATGCCCTATGGAAGGGGTAATAGCAGGAAATTGTGGAATTATAGAAGGGGGAGGAGAATAGAAACATCATTACCGTCTGGGTGCGGCTATTAAGTGCATATTCTCTTCCCTAAAACCTTCCATCCTCCTCCATAGACATCCACACTGATACACTCACAATGTCATGTCAGATCACTCAAACTTTTGCATCCATGGAAGTCTATTCCCTTTGCATTACAACACTATAGGTGCCATATCCAGTGTGGTGTTTTTTTCATATATTAGTTTCGGAATATCCGAAGGTGTGAAGCCATAATGAATAGAGGTGTTAAACAGACGAGGTAGACCTAAAATTACATGGAAAGAATTTGTCTCAAATGACCTATAATTTCTTGGAAGCAATGCGACTTAGTGACGGATAGGGCACAATGTGTGTGTGTGTATAGGCAACACTAATTAGTAGCGTATATGTTTTAAACATGTTATTATGTTTACTTTAAGTCATATACTTTCTTGGGGGGAGGGGTGGGGTGGGGGCTTCTTTTAGCCCTGTCATACAGTGTTATCAAAGGCAAAAAGTGCAAAAAAGCTCTAAGGTCTGTAGGGGCTTTAAGTGCAAAGCGCAAATAAAACGTGGGCTTTAATGAAGAAAGGCACAAATGGAGAAAAACTACAAATATGCATGTATAGTCCAAGACTAATATCTATAAGCATGAATACCAAATATATGGACAAAGAAATTGAAGAAAAATCATCTCTTTAGGATTGTGCTTGTTGACAAGGAAAAGTTTGCCTTAGAGCCTTGATAATAATACTGAAGCGCCCGCTAAGCGAGGCGAAGCGCTCAACATGTTTTGAGCCTTGCTTCAAGGCTTAAGCGCGCCTTTGATAACACTGATGTCATAGATTTTTGTGCAAGTAGAAGATCTAGAGAACTCCTACCACTTTTTATTATTTATTATTTTGTATGAAGTTGGCCCGAGATGAATTTAAATGCAGAAATGGTAGATACCTATAACTGATTGCAACTTGTTTAAGACAAGCATAGTTGTTGTTCTAGTTGTTTTGATAAGTGATCGGGTGCATCTCAAATCCCTTTCCTTTTACATTTCTTTTCCATTATTTGACATACAAGGAAATTTTATTAAAGAGGAAGCCGTATATGGAAGAAGAGTAGACTCCTAAACCAAAGGACTTACTATATCAGAAAAAACATCGCCCTCCAACCTCGTTGGAGATAAAGCAACATCATGAAAAAAACCTAGCGCTTTACATGCAGAGAAGATTATCACACATATACCGAGAAACAAACCTTTCAATGTCCTCATGTTACTCTCCATCCAAATACATCATACAACAGTAAGTAAAGCTCATTTCAGAAAATTTCACCAAACTTTGGACAAAAGTTCCAATGTTTGACCATTAAAAACTCGCTTAGTCCATTAAAAACTCGCTTAGTAAGAAAGACGAGTCATCATACATCTCAACTGAATTTAGTCCTCTGGCAAAAGTGCAAAGCAGAAATAATTGACTGTGGACCTCACTGTTCTTCTTGCATATGATGCATGAATCTGAAAATATAGATTTTGGTCTTCTCCGTTGTAACAGGTTGGTGTTGTAAGGTCTCCCAAGTTACTTGATTTTAGACGGAACTTCACTTTCAAGGAAAAAGATACCAAAGCCAAAGGAAGGCTCGTGAGTGGTTGCATATAATTGAGTTAGGAGAAAAGGATTTACGAGTGAAAAACGTAGAGGAACCTATCCATATCTGAGTATCTAAAACCTGGAAAGAATGATGTTACTGATAAGAGAAGCTAATAGAGTTGTGAGATTATTTGATAATCTATCATTCAAATAAAGTCTTATCCCAAATTGAGTCAACGTCCCATTACCAACTTTTCAAGAATCAAGAACCATATACGAAGGAAAACCTTGCAAAGTGGATTTCCAAGGACACGAAACCCATCCCATTTGTCTTTTAACACATTGGAGGAATGCAATCCTTAGAACCATTTCATAAATATTTTTTTAGCTCGATTTTTGTTGTCATATAAAGAATCACCAACTATTGCCATATTTCTTGATCATTCATCAGCTTAATATTGTAAGAGTTGCTAAAAACGAAATAATTCAGCATGATACAACTGTTAAACCATTTGCAGTGAATCAGCATATTTTGCATACCACTTACAAGTTGCCCCGAGAACCATTGGAAAATATGAACTAAGAACACCACAGTTGAAGAATTAGAACACGTTAAAAATGCTTTCCTAAAAGCGATATTAGCTCCCTCTCCTTCGCGAGATTGCCATGGGATTAACGCAAATAGCTTTACCCGGAAAAAAAAAGATATGACAATCGTTAGAATTTCTGCACTACGCAACTGGTGGAGAAATTCTTGTTAGGAAAGCAAGAAATACCAACTTGATTCACGTGTAGAACTTTAGACAAGGAGGAGAGTTTTGGAAGAAAGTTGTAAAAGAAGAAATATTTACTGCAAAAGTTAGAATACTTTCGAAAGGACCAATTGTATTTAAATAGACAATAGTCGTTATTGGTGGCTACAAAGTTATGAAAGGATTGAATTTTATAAAAAAAAATATTAATTAAATGTAAACAATATATAACAAAAAGTTCCACGGAGGAAGAAAGAGAAGAGCACCTTTGCGGACGTACTATGCCCTTGGCCTGCCTTCTGGCGGTTGCAGAATTCTTTCCCTAAATTTAAGTAGCAGCAACAGTTTAGCATTAGATCCAAATTCAGGGATTACAGTTCAGCACTAGATTCAAATTATGGATACAAAATCAAAAGGGTGACATCAATTGGGTCTGAAAAGAGAGATGAAATGTCAATGCATTGCAGAAGATAGAAACGAAAGATGATAAGCAAGACCTTGTTAGTGTTGCCGTTATTCGGACCACCGAAACCACGGCGTGAAGTTGAATCGGTAGAGCAGCATACACAATTCAGAATCCCATACTTGGAATTGGTAGTGTGCTGAAAATGATGATGATTGCTCCGGTTTATACCAGAAGGGGAAGAGAATGTTTTTCGAGTACATATACTGCAAGCGTCGGGCTGAGAGCGAGACCTAGAAGGAGCGAACAACAGTTGCGGCTGCCAAAGAATAGTAAAGTGAGTCGGTGCAACGGCCATGAGATAAGGTTTGCCGTTCGTTGCCTACAATCCCCGGCGCTACAAATCTTCCTCGAGGGCCGTCAATTGTTTGAAGCAAATGCAGAAAGTCAAAAAGTCAACTATGTTTGTTTTACTTCAAAAAGTAGTCACTTTTAACCTCAAGTATTAGAGTTTAATTTCAGAAGTTACTAGTGGTATTTAGTCACTCTTCTAATACCAAAAATATTTGAACAAAAATACCCCTCCTAAAACACGAAAAACCTGCGGGAACAATTGTCGACTTTGAACATTTTCTAAATTCCTGGATTAGAGTTTAAATTTTTTTTATGAGAAATCTCAGTGTCGTATACTGAAGTTCGAAACTTTTAAGAGTGAAACTCTGAAACGACTATTTAAATTTAAATATTTATTTGTTTAAACCCCATAATTTGTTCATGGAATTCCAATATAGTGGACCGGAGCTTCAAATTTTTACAAGTAAAATTACAACATATTGTAATGGAGTTTGTGTGGCTATAGTGAAGCTTACATTGGGATTTTACTTGTTAAAGTTTCGAACCCCCAACATTATAGGGAAATTTCAAATTTCAGGAATTGTTCTTAGAGTTAGAATCGTTAGAAGCCCATCACCAATTGCTAGAGTTGCTATATAGTAGTTTAGTTTGGGCCAAATATATCAGTTTAGTACTTAGTAGGACAAGCGGCTATTTTAATAGTAACGCATTTGAAAAGCTAAGTAACTCAAATAGGCTGCCCAATTTGTGGCTAACTCAAGCTAACTTTTTTAATTATAGCAGTTGTCACAGGGGTGATTTATGTCACTCGAATTCTGCCCGAGGTTTACTTCCGTGCGGCAATCAAGCCCAGCCTTGATTTCAGCCTTTCCAACACTTAGCTTATTTTTAGGGACGTTTTGAACATAGAATGAAAATAGGCAGCAAAAACAGTAAATGAGGCACACGATATATAGGAATTTCTTCCCAACTTGTATTAATAATGTGAATACAAGAACACAAAAGCCAACCCTATGGCCAAGACAAAGAATTCCCTAATTCCCTGCCCCAAAATGATTTTCCCACCCTTAGGAAATGACTTAGACGAATTTTGGCTAACACAATGCCTTAGACTAAGTTCTGCCCCGTTTTTGGCACCCTAGGCACATATTTATAAGGCTACAATCAGTTGACAAGCCCCAACTGATGGGCAAATAATTTAGGACAAGTACAAAAACGTGCCCCCATGTTTTTGGGCCATGATCAGCATGTCTTTGAAGGAGTTGCAACCGCCAACTGCTTCCCCATGTGCTTGGCACATGTTTTTCAACTGCTGCTTGTGCACTGCATGTGCCAATTTCGACCAGCTGCCTTGTGCCCAAGGCTGGCATTGCGCCCAGCCTTGCCCTTGACACTGCTCCGCGCCAATGCCATTGCCACAGCTCGCCGCCCATCGACTTAGCCGCACACGTTCATTGCCTCAACTGTCCGCTCATGTCAAGTCGCCCCCAACTTGATCAAATCTGCCCGCATCAATTGCCATTGCTTGCACCGTATTGCCTTGCCTTGCCTTGCCATGTCTTTGCCCCTGCTCGACATGGCTTTGCCTTGCCATTGTTTCGCCAACCCGCACGTCTAAGTAAAATGCGCCTTGCTTCCGTTCAAGGTGCCTTTGTCAAACCCCGCATAGTCCGTCATGCCGAGCTGCCCGTCATGATGTTGTCCCAATTTTCAGGTTGTGTGCCAAGTCCATCATGAAAATACTTGTCACAACCCACACCTGCCGAGGACCTTTGTCAAAGGGGCTAACAGCAGTCCAGTACCAAAATGTGGAACTAAAAGCCCATAAAAGTATTGAAACTGGATGAAACAAAAGGAGTACTTCACCCGCCCCGAGTAATAGCTAGCAAATGTATAATATAAGCATGCTAATGCATAATATATATATATATATATATATATATATATATATATATATATTATACTTAATTAATATATAATCTATGTGTATTGGATAGCAATTGTAAATATTTTCGACAGAGCGGCCAAATGTGTTAAAACCCTATTTATGTTGGCTCAAATATGCTCATGGCCTCATATTCCGAGGAGTGATACTTTTTCACCCAATTACGGTTGAGAAAATAAGTAAACTATATCGATTGAAATACTTTAATTAGTTCTTTTTGTTGCCTTTCATGCAAGAGTAGTAAGGGATAATCCATGTTGCGCATGAGCCCAAAACATCATATTTAAGTTGTATTAATTAGTATGTGTAAATTTATTTCTTAAGTTATATGTATTGGTAATATAAAATTTTACTTATAATTTCAAGTTATTCAAATATTTATGGATTATTTTTTTCTCAGACGATGCTAACCTCTAGTTCAAAATAAGTGCCTCAAGGTTTGACATACCCATTAGTATAAGCGTTATTTAACAAAGTTATCCTTTATATTTTCTTAAATTACTTTATGTATCATATTTTGTGGATCATTTATCGGATCAAGGGTAGATATGAGAAAAACTAATTAATGCCTTCTTGATTTTTCAAAGCAATAATTACTTTTGCCAAATTAATTAGTCTGAATGAGACATATTTTCAGTCGTAGGGAAGTCCATAAAAGCTATTAAATATAATGATGAAATACCATGTCATGCCTCAAAAGAGTATATATTTAGTTTTTAAAGCGATTTAAATATTAATAAGAAAAATAACATTACAAGCAAGGTGATTACTTATTTTCTCTTTTTCACGTTAAGTTGGACTCTATTTGGCTCTATTATTTTATTTTTATAAGATTCTAAAGATGAGTATTACTAAAATTAGATTAATAATAAATTACAATGATAGCAATGAAAGATCAATTTTAACTTAAAAGTATGAGCTTCCCTTGTTTACCAAAAAGGACTCTGATATTATTTTTATAAGATTTTAGAAATAAATATGCTGAAGTTAGTCAATTTTAATTTATTGTGAAGAAAAAAATATTAGTTTTAATTTACAAAAAACAAATTCAAAAAAATTCTATTTTTTGTTTACTATGAAGTTCACGTTTAAGAAGAATAATTTTGAGAGTACATATGCCTAAAATATAAGCTAAGACATGACACTTGTGAATTTGTGAGAAGACGAAAGTAATATTTTATATAATTCCAACTTCAAATAATTTTTTTCGAATTTCTATTGCTGTCTAAACGAAATTCGCATTAATTAATCATTTTCCATATACAAGCATTAACGAACAAAAGCTACTAATAAATATAATCTAACCTTGAGATATTTATGTTAAACTCATAAATATTGCTAAATATTCAATTATGTTATGAAATAATAAATGAAGAAGAAGAGTATTCCAGAGAAAATTAGAGACAGAGAATTCTTATTGATATGGGATGATTTACAACAGAATAGAACCCTCTATTTATAGGGAGAGGGTGACTTAGTCACCAAGTAATAAAACCCTAGAATCTCTCTAAATATAGACATTCACCATAAATAAAATTCTATTTATAACACTCCCCCTTGAATGTTTATTCAACAGATAATGTGTCTCGTTAAAACCTTAACTAAAATAAAACCCAGTGGGAAAAAAATTCTAGAGAAGGAAAAAGAGTACACATATCTAACAATACGCCTTTTGGTTGCCTCGTTAAAAACCTTGCAAGGAAAACCCAGTGGGACAAAACCTTGTAAGGGAAAAAGAGTACAACGCGTATTAACTCCCCCTCATGAGAGCATCACTTCACATCCTTAAGCATTTGCATTCCAATCTTGTGCACCATCTTCAAAAGATCTTTGGTAGATATTTGATAAACAAATCAGCCATATTAACTTGAATGAATATATTGCACCTTGAAATCATCATTCTTGATAGAGATGGATTATCTTCATATGATCTTGTTGGAATCGTCAGTTCAATATCTTCACATAGAGGTGAAAACTCTTGCTATCATATTATCATGCTTATAGTTATAGCAAAATATATTTGTACACAAATTGCACTGAGGAAGTGGTACTTCAAGATCAAGAATTG